TCTACATATATACATACACATACATACATACATACATACTAATAAATATAAATACATACATACATGCATACATACATACACAGATTTATATATGTGTGTCTGTTTGTGTATGTATGTGTATGTCTGTGTGTATGTATTTGGCTATGTATGTAATTGTAAACGTATATACATCTATATATTTTTGTACATGTACATATAATACAGATAGTTGTATTTATACATTTACGTATCTGTTTGCATGTGAGTGGCCCTGGTGTTGTGTAGTGTATATTTCGTATCCTTATTTAACAATCTTATTTTGAAATTTATTTCAGACACTATTAGATGCGAATATATGAGTAGACATATGTTTCTATAAACATTGGGATGTATATGTATTTTCTTAAGTGTGCGTGGGTGTGGCTGAGGGTGGGTGTTAGTGTGTACATGTGTGTACGTTTGATTGATACACACTACTGGCTGGGTGCGTTAAACCACAAACCCTGAAACCCCCTAAATCCCTAGCTGCGTCCATCTTGGTCAGTGAGTACCGGATCTGTTCCAACCAGTACGTTTTGTGTCTGGATTTACGTATATATTTCTCCCACACAAAGAGTCGCAAGCGTTAGTGGCACACATATGAATTTTCGTTGTTACGTACGTCTGTCAGCTAGGCGCGTATTTACGTTAATTTATATCCACTACACCGTAAGTCGATATCGTATGCATTCAAGCCCACTCGATCGCTCTACTCTGTACCCTACCATAAGAATATATTCCGTATACGTTGCTAATACGAATGACCATACGCTTATAATCCATGTACTTAGCTAATACGTATGACCATATGGATATAGCCCGCATACTTGGCCATTGCGTATAACAGTAACGCGGGTCTGTACCATGCTAACCTACATGCACATGCACATCTCTCGTCGCTTGTGCAGGTGGAAGCGGAGGTCAAGAGCGAACGCGATGCTGTGGAGGCGAAGATAAAAGAGGATTTGGATAACATGCATAATGCACAAAAGGTGCGTAGCACACACATCCCTTCTGCTACTTGTAGAAGTTATGTCTTCGCATTTGCCCTTTTATTGGCACAAAGCACGTATACTCTGATGTATATTTGCGTGTGTGTGTTGTGCAACTATGCTAGGATATTCGTATAGTTGTGTATCTGTGTACATAGCCTATATATCTTCTCTATCAACACCCATTACAAAGTATACAAGACACTTTCACACACCTACACACACACATACACACAACCGTACATCCATACACAGCACTGCCAGCAGCGTCTGAAGGACCTGGCTCAGGAGACAAGCGCGGCAGACCAAAGAGTCAAGGAATTACAAGCGACCCAAAGGAAGCAACGGGAAGAGAACGAGTCACTCACGACACAGGCAGAGGTCCTGCAGGTGGACATCGCTGCGCTGGAGGGCGAGGTTGCACAGGTGGGTGCTTGCGTGGGATGTATGTGTGGATGGATATGAGTATGTATGTATATGTGCATGTGTATGTGTATGCGCATATGTATGTGTATGTATGTGTATGTGCATATGTATGTGTATGTGCATATGTATGTGTATGTGCATATGTATGTGTAAGTGCATTTTTGGATCTGTGTGCTTGTGCACGTTTGTGATACAATCGAACGCAGACGCCCTACAGGAAGACATAGCTGCGCTTGAGAACGAAATTGTATAGGTGTGTCGCATCGTTTATGTGCATGGTTTATGGTTATAAGAATGTATGTGTACATGCATGCACGCGTATATATATATATATATTTATGTATGTATATGTGTTTGCCAGAATGGAGTATTTATGTAGAGATCTATCTATATATTCGTGTAGGGTCATACGCACATTCTCTAACGATATAATGTAATCACATAACAACCCAGGTAAGCGAAGTTGTGGCTAATGCGGAGAAAGACCGCGACGAGACTACGGAAGCCTGGGGTCGTATGGAGGAGAACTTTGTGGACTTAGAGAATCAGCTGAACAAGATGACCGCGGAGAAGAACAAGCAGATGAGTCTGGTAGATGCGCTTGATGAGGAGGTGCGTAATACATCCGTATATATATATATATATATGTGTGTGTGTACTTGTTTGTACACAGTTTATAGTGTTGCATAGTCGACAGAAAGTTCGTAGTCCGCTTGCATATTGTCGCTTTGCGCGTGGTTATTGTTCGTTTTGTATTATTACACTGTAGCTTTCTGGGCCATTTCGAATCCCGCTTACCATTTTTGTTAGTTTTGGATCATTTTATCATTCTACTATTTATTTCTGTAGATATTTGTTCACAAATTGGCCTATTCTACAGGCTTGGATCATACATCTATTGAGATCTGTGCCATTTTTATCCCATCTTGATGTTTTTTTCTCGATTTTTGGATCATTCCACTATTGAGTTCTGTCCCATTTGAATCCCAGCTTCATCTATTTAATAGATTTTTGGATCGTTCCACTAATAACATCTGTGCTATTTTATACAGCTCGCCTTGTACGAACAGGAAGCCGATATCCGAACCGCACGCAACAACGCCGACGTGAATGAGTTGAAGAAAGCGATTAAAGAGGTAGATATACAAAGTCTGAAGTTCCATGAACAAAGTCTTTATGCTATCGAGTTAAACGTACCGTCTTTATGTTATTGAGTTAAATGTACAGTTTTTATGCTATTGAGTTAAATGTACAGTCTTTATGCTATTGAGTTAAATGTACAGTCTTTATGCTATTGAGTTAAATGTACAGTCTTTATGTTAATGAGGTAAATATACAAAGTCGTTATGTTATTGAGTTAAATATACAAAGTCTTTATGTTAAGGAGTTAATTATATGAAGTCTCTATCTTAAAGAGCTATATACGCAGTTCTTTATTGAGTATATAGCATGATTGTCTAGTGCACGTTCTACAGCCGTAAAGGTTAAGGTTCTGCTCTGTAATCACACACCCCACCCCACCGCGCTATAGAAATATTGTTATGACGCCGTTGGTGTGTATCGTTTGGTATATTATGTGGGCATATATATATATATTATGTGGGTATATATATATATTGTGTGGCGTGTGTGTTCATGTATCATGGACTAATGCACAGTATTCACAGTGCCGGGAATCAAATGTCCAGTACAAAATACTCGAGTACCTCAAGATATTTGTGTTTATACGTATATATATGTGTGTGTGTTTGTGTGTGTGCGCGTGCATGTGTATTCCTGTTTCATGTACGCATGCTCAATTATCGCTATCTCATGCATTGAACGTAAATGTCACTTACCTGTGTTCTCTCCCAAGGTCCCTAAGAAGTTCGAGAACGAGTTCAAGCAACTCAAGGCTGCTTCAGAGAAGGACATTCTCGGTGCACTCAACCGTACGCTCGAACGCCATACCAAGGAGCTGCAAGAGAAGGTAGGCACGCACTCTGCATGTGTGTTGGAGTAGGAATATATATATATAGTAAACTAAGAGGGTGTATCTGTATACTTTTAAGGGAATATACATACAAGAAGTTGAATGGGTACTATATCTTGTATATATATATATATAAAATGCTGAACTCTGATCCCCGTCTTATAATATACCAACATATTAGAATATCCTTTTAAACGATCACAACAACTACCTGCATGTAGGCGACCGCC